ATTGAAAAGGCTTTCTTGCAGATTTCTCTTGCTGAGACGGATAGAGATGCAGTGAGATTCCTATGGTTCACTGCACTGCCTCATGAAGACGCAGGTGAAAGGCTACGTGTACTGCGGATGACAAGAGTGGTGTTTGGAGTGTCCCCGAGCCCATTCCTCCTAGCGGCTACAGTAAGAAGGCATCTGAAGGAATATGAACACCAATTTCCTGAAGTAGTAAGGATCATCAGAGAATCACTTTATGTTGACGACTTAATCTCGAGTGCAAGTGATGTTGAGAATGCTTTCCACTACTGGTGCAAAAGAGATTATGTCTGCAGCTGGAATGAATCTTTGCAAATGGACAACCAACTGTGCTGCATTGAAGGAAAAATGGAAGGAGACAATGAGTGAACCTGCTGAGGAGACAGAAACGCATGGATCAGTGCTGAAGGTACTAGGCTTGGTATGGAGAACTCAAACAGATGAATTTGTTTTTGACCTGACTGCACTGTTGGACGCTGTAGCGAAGAGAGAGAATACTAAAAGAAGTGTTCTAAAGCTATCTGCTTGCATATTCGACCCAATAGGGTTTCTGACTCCATTTACTGTGCGAGTAAAATGTCTTTTCCAAGAGCTGTGGATACGAGGACTTGGCTGCGATTAGGAGCTGCCCTCGGATCTTGCACAAGAATGGCAAGGATGGTGTGCAGAGCTACCACAGATCCATCACATACACATTCCTCGTTGGTATGGATCAAAATGCATGCATAGACACAACGCACATCAACTCCATGTGTTCTGTGACGCAAGCGAGAAAGCTTATAGCACTGTTGCTTACCTGCTTCGAGTAGCTGATGATGGAACAAAAACAACATGCCTCGTTGCTTCAAAGTCCAGGGTAGCCCCATTGAAGAAGATCTCACTGCCCCGTCTTGAGCTGATGGGAGCAGTAATTGGAGCGAGACTCGGAAACAGTCTGTTAAAGCCTCTGAATATGGAGCTTCATTCAAGTTCATATGTGGACGGATTCGATATTGTGCTGCAGTGGATTCACAGTCCAGCTCACAAAATGGAACAGTTTGTGGCAAACAGAGTGTCAGAAATTCAGCTTTTAACCAATCCTGAAATGTGGTCTCACTGTAGGAGCAAGTTCAATCCTGCAGACCTTCCCACCAGAGGTCTGACTGTAGCTAACCTGAAGGAAAGTGAGATTTGTTGGAACGGACCTTCATTTCTGACTACACTGAATCCGTTGGAAGAAAGTGAAGAAGAGACAAGTGACGAAATTGTGTGGTTAGTGAGTTAACACAAGATCAGCAGATTGTGGTGCAACTCAGCAGCGCGTGGAAAAAACGAGAAAAGGAACCTGTTGTGGGCTTAATGAAGTACAGTAAGCTAAAGCGAGTTCTGCGAGTTACTGCTTGGATTAAGCGGTTTGTGCATAATGCCAGTTCAAGCTCCAAGATGCATGGTGAGTTGACTGCAGATGAAATGTTTGAAGATGAAAAGTATTGGATAAAGTTGACACAAGAAAGAAGCTTCAGTCCTGAAATCAGTTCGCTGAAAGCTGGAAAGACATTGAACGCGAGACTCAAAAATCAGAGATTTAAGACCTTTTCTGGACGAGGACGAATTGCTCTGTGTTGGAGGCAGACTCCAACAGTCAGACTTTCAGCTACAGAGAGAAACATCCATGGATTTTGCCCAACAAAGACAGATATGTGAGTTGCTGCGTCCAGTACAACCATGAATTCATCATGCATTCTGGTTTGAGAGGACACACTAGTGCAAACAAGAAGTAGATACTGGATTTGAGAGCCAGACAAATCGTTAAAGGTGTTTTGTCAAAATGTACTGTGTGTAAGAGATTTCAAAGTCAAGCCCGCACAGCAGGACACGGCTCCATTGCCAAGGGACAGAGTATCTGAGAAACCACCATTTGAAGTGACTGGCATAGACTTTGCAGGACCGCTGTATGTGAAGGGTGATCGTGCATTATGCAAGGCTTATGTTGCTCTGTTTACATGTGCTGTCACGGAGAGCGGTTGCATTTAGAACTGGTTTCAAGGTCAGTCGACAGAGAGTTTCTTGTTAGCACTCAAGCGATTTATTTCCAGAAGAGGGTTGTGTTAAAGTCATCTATTCGGACAACGCCAAAACCTTTAAAAGAGCAAACCAAGACCTTAGTGAGCTGTGGAAAGCCATCAAAGATCCACAAATCCTGGAATACTTCTCAGGAAAGGAATAACTTGACGTTTCATTGTAGAACGAGCTGCCTGGTGGGGTTGGATTTTGGAAAGACTTGTAAGGTCTGTGAAAATGAGCATGAGGAAGGTGCTAGAAAGGCATCGCTCACATTTGAAGAAATGTCTACGCTTCTTGCAGAAGTAAAAGCCATACTGAATTCCAGACCTCTCACTTTTTTGTTCACAATGAGCTTGATGAGCCGCAGCCACTAACGCCAGCACATTTCTTAGTTGGTGAACGACTCACTTCACTACCTCCAAAACCATTTCCAGCCGACTATGATCATCCACTGTGAGTAAGGGTGATATGACAAGAAGGTGGAGATACAGAAACCGACTCATGACCAACCTGTGAAATCGTTGGAGGAGGGATTATCTACTGGAATCTGAAATCTGCACATTCCTGCAACACGCAGAAAACCTACTCAGTTGAAAATGGGTGACGTTGTGCTCATAGGAGATGTCAATATGCCGAGACAAACCTGGAAAATGGGAAAGATTGAAGAGCTGTTTCCAGGCAGAGATGGCAAAGTTTAGATCCTGTGCTTTGCGTACATCCACAGGACTGTGTTGAGAGACCCGTTCAATTGCTTTATGCATTAGAGATTTAAGTTGATGAACATTTGTTCATGGGGGGAGGATGTTGTGAATAATCAGAATAGAAATGTGAATTTGTTATCTTTAATAATAACATAAAAACAGTTTGACATTAATGGGGGTGTTCAGCTTTAAAGAATTCTACCAATAATGCATCAGTGTATGTGAGGAAAAAAAGAGAGAGAAGATATGTTTTCATGTGCGAGCGCTGTATCTAATGATTCAAGTTCAGGAAACTTCAGTAAACAGTTCAGTTTTATTCAATTCAAGTCGTCAGTGTCATTATTGCTGGTCAAGGAAGAAAATAC